ATATTCTTTGCAGAAAGCTTATGTCAAAAATTTCAAGACACTGTCATGAGTCCCAAAGTAATATTTTTGTATATGAATGAAGCTGTTTTTATCATGCAGTACTGCATAATTTTTAAGTTATGTGGAATTAATATAACTGATTCCGTTTTGTTATTTGTTAACTCCTATGTATACCATTAAAATAAATTCAAAGCTGAAGAAAAAAAAAACCAGAACAGAAAAGGGCTGTTTGCTTAAATAAAGGGTAGGTTCTGTGTTTCAATCTACCCATAGTTGTAGCCTCACTTTATGCTTTGGTTTGCCTCATTGCTTTTCTTTTACACATTCTTGATATTATATATATGGAGTTATTACAACATCCCACTATTTTTCCTTTTAATTTATTCTACCAATGGATTCCTTCTTGCATTTGTTATATTGTTTTGCCACATTATCAATATATAACCTTCTGTATTTAACTATCAGTATTTTGTTTTACATCCAGAGTTCTCCTAAATTCAAAAGTTAAGATAATGAAAACAGCTGTCTTATAAGACTTGATGGCTCTTAATAACTGACAGCAACACAAAGAGAACCTGTGCCATTATTGGACAGAATGATGACTATCCCAGATCCAATTAAATAGATGGCGTTTAAATACTTGTAAGAAGAACAAACATCCATAATTCTTAGATCATTATCCTAACAAGGAAAGACAGGCTAAATGGCTCTACTCTAAGTACAATCCAGAAGGACCCATCTTCACTGCCCCAGTCTATACCAGAAGTTCCTGTTACCAGCTCGGTTATCTAAGCCAGGCATATGGAATGAGTATCACACGCACAGGTTTCAAATTGGCAGGTGGAGTCCATGCTCCCTGCAGACCCTTACCTTCTATGGACCAAGGCTTAAATCACACATTGAGGAAGACTGGGTGGCAGAACCAATGATAGGAGCTTACTTCATCACCAACACCCTTGCCTCTGACTTGGACCCCTCAGCCTGACAATTATGGGGTCTAGAAAAAACTCAGAATCAGTTGGAGTATCTTGTCTATCTTTGATTCTTTCTCTGCTTCTCATTCCATGAGTAGATGAAGGACTGAATATTCACACAAGAGTTGATAGAAATGTTTAGATAACAATTTTGCCATGATCATTGAAGATACCAAGACATTGGAATTTGAGCAACTATTTTAGCATAAAGCAAGTCCTTAGTCAGGAACCACAGAGACATTATTTCCTTCTTCCTCCAAAACTACTGGGCAAGATTTCAGTACGCCTATTGTGACTTTAAAGGTTCTGTCAGGTACATGCCTAAGATAAAACAAAACAAAACACCTGTGTCATAAGACACAAAACTCTAGTAGCTTAGCAAGGGAAGGGCCTGATATGCAATTGAAAGGAAGTTTTAGAAATTACTAATAATAGTGCATCCTTTCTCTCTTCCCTTCCACACACTAAGAACAGTGCTTCCTCTAGCTCATGCAAAAACTCTTGGCAATGCCAGCTCCAGGGTTTCTGCATTCATGGGGTGACAGCACTGCTTTTACAGCACAGCACCAAAGCTCCTGAAGCTATTAGGTTTGGGATTAAAGTCCATCCTAGAAATTCTGTTTTGCTTTTGTGGCATTGAGGCTCAAATTCAGGAGCTTATACATGCTAGGCAAGTCCTCTACCACTAAGCCATATCTTCAGTACACCTTACGGTTTTAATGAAGAGAAATAAATTCCAAAAGTCCCAGCTAACAGTTGAGATATCCTATAGCTTCAAAATCAAGTAAGACTTGCAAAGAAACTACTAGATATAGGCAACCATTTTTATTACACATTACACAACGGTAGAGAAAATTATGGACTCTTGGTAACACCCGAGAGACTGAAATGATTAATTCCAGATGGTGGCAAATTCAGATACCTCCACTTTAAGAGTAACTAGTTTCTCACATGTCCTCCATGATCCTTTTGTCTAAAGCCTAGGATTATAGGGTTGAAAGGAGAATGTGGATAGTCTAAGCAAATCTACCAGGTTTACCTTGATGATCCTGTTTGACCATCCATGGAGACCAAAGTAATAATGTGCCAGTTCTTGGCATCTTGAACTGTTTAGGGCAAGGGCCTGATGTTGAACTGCCCTGTCTGGTGCTGAGATGAGCCTAGCCACAAGGGTGAGAATCACAAATATCACAGCCTGCCTGAGATTATATTTTGGATATACTTGAGATTTATCAATGTTCATTTTACAGAGTAGGTGTGAAGATTAAATGGTATAAGAACATTTTAACTCTATTCATAGTGAGCCCTAAATGTATTTTTAAAAACTTTCAAAAATTATTTATGTGTATGCGTGTATTGCCTGCATGTAGGTAAGTGCACCCGTGTGGTGCAATGCCTGGGGAGGTCAGAAGAGGCTATCAGGTCCCCTGGTACTGGAGTTATGGCAGTTGTTAGCTGCCATGTGGGTGCTGAGATTCGAACTCGGGTCTTCTGCAAGAACAACCAGTGTTCTTAACTGCTGAGCCATCTCTCCAGCCCCATAAATATATATATTTTTAAGTCACACTGTGTTTTTGCTACACTCTCGGGGTCCACAAAAAGTAACTCGGGAAGCCCTGTAGAGAAAGCATAGGATAGTGAGTGTCCCGTGCTGTGTTAGATTTGATGATGGTCTACGCAAACCAGGATGGACCACTGCAGTCTGTGTTAGGGCGTCGCAGACTGAATATGGAAGGCCCAACGGAGAACGCAGGGGAGGGGGGGGGGGGGGCGGGGCGGGGCACGTAGTAAGCGTGGAAATCCCCGGTGGAAAGCCAAGCCGGGGCCCTGCACGTCCCCATGCCCTTATCAACCGCAGTATTTCCTCGGAACACTTCCCACTGAAGGAACAGGGTTTCCTCCCAGGAGGGACATCGTGAGATGTCAAACGGTGGCGCTCTGGTCTCTGTCAAACTGTGGTTCACAGACTGCCTGGTCCGCTAGACCTGCGTCCCTCAGCAAAGTCTCCAAGCAGGTGAGAGCCTGACAGGGCGCCCCTGGTAGACCTTGTTCTTTATTCCCTCAGCGCAGCGGCAGCCTGGTCCCTCCCTCGGTGCAGCTAGCAGCCTTGTCCATCTTCCCGCAGTCCAGCCCCGCACACTCAAGGCCTCGTCCATCCTCCCTCAGCGCGGCTTCGGCCTTGTCCATCCTCCCTCAGCGCAGTGGCGGCCCGGTCCATCCTCCTTCAGGGCGGCTTCGGCCTCGTCCATCCTCCCTCAGCGCGGCTTCGGCCCGGTCCATCCTCCCTCAGCGCGGCTTCGGCCTCGTCCATCCTCCCTCAGCGCAGCGGCGGCCCGGTCCATCCTCCCTCAGCGCAGTGGCGGCCCGGTCCGTCCTCGCTCAGCGCAGTGGCTACTGAACCATCCTGCAGTCAATGCGCCTGCGCAAACAACACCTGAGACTTTTTTTTTTTTTTTTTAAGAGCATCTGTGAGCGGTGAGGCTTGTGAGGCCGGCCTGGAGCCAGCCCCTTTCCCTTCGTGGTGCTGGTCTCTAGGTCCCCTCCTCCAGTCTCACCGCCAGTGCCAGAGTTGGCTCTAGTACTCCAAGTGTATCTTTCAGGTAGTCCTAAGAGTCAACTTACAGGATCCAATATGCACAGCTTTGTAGCGGCCGACTTCATCTGCACTTCCAGAGACCAAGACAGTAGTTAGCCCTATTGAACTTGTGGGAAATGACTTCTAGAGATGCAATCTTTGAGTTAAGAGTACTTTTAGTTTTAAATATGAAAGTCAGAGCAGAATTCAACCACTAGGAGTCTGGCATGAAATCTTTAAAGAGAATTCCCTGGTTGCCCTGGAATTTGGAGTGGTGTGTTGCAGAGTTTGGACACTATGAGAAGCTGGAGACTAGAGAAGGAAAGAAATTTGGAAAGGAATCAGAATGGGTTCATATAAGGCAACAGTACTGTAGCTGGTGGTGCCTGAGAAAGGTGTTCCAGGATATATAATGGGCTGTTTATGGGAGCAGTGCTCAGAGAGAGGTGGGGCTTGAGGCTCTTCATTTTAATACTAGGCTAAAAGGACTCCACAGAAGAGGTTTGGGAGTTCCAAATGACAGCCTTCAGTCCTTCATAGTCCATGCTGGTCTGTAAAGAAGTTTTTGCCCGTCCTCAGCAAAATGACAGGACAGTAATTTTTTAATTTTGTAAAATAAAATCTATTATAGTACACTCTTCTACATGTCTGATCTCCATAAAAATCTGATGCTAAAAATCGTTTTATAAAAAAAAGATGCTGAAATAGAGCTAGTTGTTGTAATACTTGTTTTTTGAGACAGGGCGTCAAACCCTGTAGTCCTAGTTGGCCTGGAACTTACTAGATAGACTAGACTGGACTAGATCTTACGGGGATCTGCCTGCCTCTGCCACCTGAGTGCTGAGATTAAAGGCATGCATCACCACACCCAGTTTATAATACTCTACTCTTTTAACTAAATATTACAGACAAAAGCTTGAACTTCTGCTGGTTATTCCTTGTCAACTTGACTGGATTTAGAATCACCATGGAGACACGCCTCTGGGTGTGTCTATGAGGTCATTTCTAAAAAAGTTTGACTGAGGAACTATTGACCTACCTGAATGTGCGTGGTATTACTCCTTGGGCTGGGGTCCTGGACCAAATAAAAAGTAGGAAGTGAGTTGAGAACCGGCATTCACCTCTGCTTCCTGTTTGCAGCCATTATTACATTCCTGCTGCTGTATCAGACATGGTGTACTGGACCCTCAGACTGTGAGCCCAAAACAAAACAGAACAAAACTTGTTTTTGTCAGGTATTTTGTCATAGCAACAAGAAAAGCAACTAATACAGAGTGCTTCTGGTTTAGTTATTGGTTTGATTTTTTACTGGCCTAATAATATCCTTTGTGTTATTGCTGATGCAGTTAAAGCCCAGGGGTAGAAAAATAAGTGTCCCAAGTTAATACGCCAGCTTTGGTAGACAGTACTGATCGTGGCTATATGCAGGACATTCCCCCAACATTCTGCCTTGCCTTCTCCTTAAGCAAGTTCTACTCTTCATCCGCATCCTCTGAGCCAACTGGATCCTATCCAGAAGAGCTTTTTGTTGTTGTTGCATGTGTGTGTGTGTGTGTGTGTGTCTGTGTGCGTGCGCGCACGCATACGCACGCCATGGCACAGGTGTGTAGGCCAGAGGACAGCCTCCAGAAATCAGTTTTCTCTTTCCACCATGTAGGTTCCAGAGATCAAACTCAGGTCATCAGGTGTGGCTGCAAGCATCCTTAACCTGCTGAGCCATCTTGCTGGCCCTCCTTTTTAATCATCTAGATTCTCGTTCATTCTTCCCAGATCACTAGCACCTGGTACCGTATCTCCAACTCAGCGCTCCTTTCTCCACTTTGATACCAGACCCTTACTCCCACCCACTACCTACATCTGATCTTTCTATTAACCTTTAAAAAATAGTTGCCTTGGGTGAATTACATCTTGGTACTGCTTCTAAACAATAATTATAGATTTTATTATACATTTTAGCATTCATTATTTGTAGATGTCTCTGCTTCTCCACTTCAGTTATGAACACCTGAAAACAACAGTTAGGTTCGGCTTCCTTCTAGTGCCTAGACAACAAACACTCTTTACACTAGTAGATACTCAAATATGTATGGAATTAATCATGACTAAATTAACACATTCTTTGCCCAGGGTGTCCTTTAATAAATTAAAAAATTCAAATTTATTTATTGTGGTCTTCTTGGGTTGAAAGTGATAGGAACAAAGGAACTGGGCCTGGATGAACACAAGGAGGGACCTTAAGAAAGGCATTTACATCCCTGGGACTCTGGTCAGTTTTACTTGTGAGTGAGAAGAGAAGAAAATAATATGAGTTGAAGGCAAGAGGACGAAGTAGTGAAGAATCTCCAAGTCATACAGGCGTCCTGGAGTGACTCCCCAGTGGGCCTGCGCTCTGTTTCATCCCAGATGGCATCCTGTTATCCAGTAGGAGAGTGGCCGTCCTGAACAGTGCAACCTCCATTCTACCCTGTGGGGTAAAAAGACAGGATTTTTGCTTTGTATTTAATTGCTTCTTCACCACCATCTAACCCAGTTCCTTCCTCCCTCTCATTTCTAGCTCTTTAGGCTGTTTCTTCTTCTTCCTCTTCCTCCTCTTCCTCTTCCTCCGCCTCCTTCTTCCCCTTCCCCTTCTTCCCCTTCTCCTCCTCCTCTTCCTCCTCTTCATCTTCATCCTCATCATCTTTTTGAGACAGTGTCTCCCTGTAGCCCCAGCTGGCCTGGAACTCACTATGTAGACCAGGCTGGCCTTGAACTCAGGTATCTACCTGCCTCTGCCTCCCGAGTGCTGGGACTAAAGGTGTGCACCACCATGCCCAGCTCCTTTCTGTATTTTCTTTAAAGTTCCCTCACCCCTGGGGCTTGCCCTCTTCCCTCATGTAGCATGCATCTACATTTTCAAATCCTCATTTTCCTTTGAAGGAAAATGCATTGTGGTTTTTTTTTTTTTTTTTTTTTTTTTTTTTTTTTTTTTAGACAGGGGCTCCCTGTAGCCCCAGCTGTCCTGGAACTCACTATGTAGACCAGGCTGGCCTTGAACTCAGTGAGATCTGCCTGCCTCTGCCTCCCGAGTGCTGGGATTAAAGGCATGCGCCACCACGCCCGGCTAAAATGCATTGTTTTATAGGACTAAGAGTTACTTTAAAAAATCCTAGTTGCAATATTTGACTCTCCCATCCCTAAGAATCAGCCTTAATAATCATCAGTGTCCTTTCCTGGATGGTATTTTGAATTTGCAATTACTTCCATTCTTACAGCTGTCTGTAGAGGGAGACATTTACATATTATTGTTTATTTCTATTATATATGTCCAGTTTGAATTAGAGAAAAGGCTAAGTGACCCCTATGCATCCAGCTTTGAGAAGCTGAAAACTTTGGGGTGTCCAGCTAAGGGGCCCACACCTTTAATAAGAAATATTATCTATTTTGAGGGGGCCCCTACAGGAAACATATTTGTTTTGCTTAAGTCTTCCCATGCTTACAGCTGATTGGTTCAAGTAGGAGAGCATATAATTCACACTAAACCAATCAGAGTCTCTAGCTCAGGAGCTCAGACTGGGACCTGGACTAACCAGCCCCCTATGATTGCTTAGGACTTTAAGTTATAAACTTGGAAGCCTGTAGTCTGCCTTGTGGATGTAGGAGCAGAGGACGCTGGTCTACAGAAATAGTGACTTGAATGCACAACAGAAGCAGAAACTGGTCGTGAGAAGCTTTTACCTATTTTCCAGTCTCTCTCTCAGTCTTGTCCTGAGGCCCAGCTGCACCTCTTGAGTGGGCTCAGTAAGAGACCTTTTCTTGAAATAAATTTCTGGGCTGGGGGGCTGGCTCCATGGTTAAAGCACTTGCCATACAAGTATAAGGATCCCCAGAACTAACATAAATGCTAGATAAGCTTGGTGGCTTGCCTGTAATTCCAGTGCTCAGAAAGCAGAGATGGGGGATTCCTGGAGCAAGCTGGCTATCCAGACTAGCTGAATCTGTGAGCTTTGAGTTCAACTGAAAGACCCCGGCCCAATAAACAAAGGTGGAGAGAGATTGAGGAAACTCCTTCCATCAACTTCAGGTCTTCACACATGTGTACACAGATGCACTCCCCCCCCCCGGCCACACACACTAAATAAATAAATAAATAAATAAATAAATAAATAAATAAATAAATAAATAACTGAAAGTAAATTGTTTTCTCTTATTACAACCAGAAAGGTTTTGCTTAATACAGTATCAGAAAAAGAAACAAACCCAGATGTTTAGACACAGAGTGCCAAGCCCAGCTGCTATCTCACATTTTTCTAAACCTCCGTAAGGCCTACAAGTTCCTGCCCACTGCTCCTTTCTCTGTCACATCCCCCTTTTAGGGGTGGGGAGGCTTTGTCCACCAACTTAGTCCCATCAGCCCCCCTCACCAGTTCTTCACCCCTCCTGATCCAGACACAATCATTTTTGCGCAGTTGATGGAAGGAAGGAGTCTAGGATCCAATAGGTCTGAAAGGAAGAAAGAGGTTACTTGTGACAGGCACAGAGATCAGTCCCAAAGACCAGGAAAACACCAGCCCTGCCTGCACAGGACTTGTTTCAAAGGGCCTTCCAGATTAAGCAAGGTCTTCCCAGGGACCCATTTAGACATTCCTACAGTGACTGCTAGAGATAGAAGTGGGGCCAGGAGGTCTGAGATTTGGGCCTGCCCATTACTATTCTTCTAGCCAGGATAGATGGTGGCTCATCCAAAGTTTGCAGGGTTTCTGAGGAGCGGAGATGCCAAAGCAGACAGCACACAGATCAAGAAAAAGTCCTGCCTAATGAAAAGGTCTTATAGGCAAGGAGCCTAAGGACATTAGAGAACAAAGGAGTTACAAGCCCCATCAAGCTTCTCATATTAGCTTTGAGGCAAGGAGTTTGCACTTAGTTTTTGCTTAGACTATTAACCTGGGTACTAGTGAATGCTATATCTGAGTCTTCAAGGCCATAAGTCACATTCGCATTCAGTTCTAGTCTCTGCCTCTCCCCCTTCCCCTCCCCTTCTCCTACCCTTCCCCTCTCCCCTTCTCTCCTATCCTCTCCTAACATTTTCTGTGTTGCCCCAAGCTGGCCTTAAATTTAAATTACTGAACTCCAGCAATCATCTTGCCCCAGACTCCCAAGTAGATGGTACTAATGATGCTACGCCTGCCTCAGTTCTCTGAGGCTGAGTTTGCTCATCTGGGAAGCAGAAATAATAAATAGTTCCTACTGCATGGAAGGTTAGATGAAATGAGCTATGCACGTGATATACTCAGTATGTAGCATGCTATCAGTCAATGTGTCTGATGTGGCTGCTCTGCCACTCCTGTCCGTTCAAAGCCTCTCTGGATCCTGCTCAAGGGACCTGCACAACCTCCTTCAAGGGAGGGCATCAGGACCCTGAGGATTTCCTGCTCGTTGAAACACCCCTGGAAGAGCATGCCCAGGGCTCCCTACCAGACCTTGACAGTCCACGTGGCAGAAGTTCTCGGAGTGACTCTGGTAGTCGTTGCACCAGTAATGGCTGTTGATCTGGAAGATGCCGTAGTCGAAGCTGCCATCTGCATTCTCAGTTATCTTTGATATGTTGAAGTTGCTTTCCACAAAAGCCAGGCACAGCCCTTGGAACAGACAGAAGGGGAACAGGATTTAGGAAGGAGCCAACCTGAGTGAGAAGGGGGCTGACAGGGAAAGGAGGGCAAGGAATGAGAAGAAAAAACAAGGCCCAAGAGGCTAGTGGACCTAGAGAGCTAGAAACACCCACAGGCATCTCCTCACAACCTTCAGTCCCATTCGTTTTTGCAGACAGTCATCCATCTTTCCATCTACTTTTTTTTCCTGCCCTTACTGAGCACCTACTATGTGTCAGGAACTATGCATAGCCAATAAGGGAGATTAGGCTGAGCCTACTATAGACGCTGCCTTTGAAGGGCCTGTGGTACAGACAGAATGAGAGTGTGGGTTTAAAAAAAAATCACAAACCAGGATAAAAGGAGAAGATGTCACACAGCAGGTACATTCAAATTTCAGGTGAAAGGGATTCTTTCCATGCAGAATGATGAAGCCTTTACATTAGCTGTTCCTTCTGCCTGGAATGCCCTTCCTAGACATTTGGATGATTAGCATTGCCCAGTGTCACTTTCTCAGAGTCCTTCTCTGACTGCTTGATTTTTAACAGTGCCTGTTAACTGTTGAAATGTGCCCTCACCCACCTTATTTTTCTTTATGCATACATGAAAGTATTTGGTTTTTAGGGTCTTTTTCCATTTTTAATTTCTTTTTGGTCTTTCATTAGGTCTCTCTGTAGCTGCAGCTGACCTGGACCTCGCTATGTAGACTAGGCTGGCCTCAATCTCATAGAGAGCCACCTGTCTCTGCCTCCTAGGTGCTGGGATGAAAGGTGTGCGCCACCATGCCTGGCTTTAAGTTTTTATTCATGTGCGTGTGTGTGTGTGACTTTATGTCTGTGTTCAAATATTCATGGGGACCAGAAGAGGGTGTCAGATCCCCTGGAACTGGAGTTACAGATGGTTGTGAGCTGCCTGATGTGGGTGCAGAGTACCCAGGTAGGTACTCTGGAAGAGCAGTAAGTGCTTTTACCCACTGAGCTCGTTTTGGTGTTTTGTTGGTGTTTTTTCTTTTTTTAATTTGAGAGAGAGAGAGAGAGCGAGAGCGAGAGCTTGTTGAAGTCCGAGGACAGCTTTTGGGAGTTGGTTCTCTCCTCCCACCTGTTGAGGGCATGGCCTCTCTTGTAGTTTCTGCTGTACTGTGTAGTCCAGGCTAGCTGGCATTCCAGGCAGGTCCTCCTGTCTCTTCCTCCCATCTCATTATAGGAGTGCTGGGATTATAGATGTGCCCCTACCACATCTGACTTTTTTTTTTTTAATGTGGGTTCCATGAATGAAACCCAGGTTGTCAGGCTTGCAAAATAAGTGCTTTTACTCTCATTATCATCTCACTGGCCCTGTAAAATTTTTTTTATTTATTTGCTTGAGACAGGAACTTGCTGTTTAGCCTTGGTTGGCTTCAAATTCATGACAATCCTCCTGTCTTAGTCTCCCAAGTGCTGGGATTCCAGGGATGTATCATAAATTCGTGCATTTCACCACCAGCCAATACTAAAGTATATGTGAATGTGTTCACTCCTACTCTTTCCGCCCAGTATGTGATCACTTGAGGGAAGGGTAGTTAGCTTACTTCTGTATCCCCTGAACCTAAAATACTTTTTGGTGCATAATAAGTGCTCAGTAATAACTGTTAGTTGAAGTCGGGAATATGGGGCTAGAGAGATGGCTCAGTAAAGAGCACTAACTGCTCTTGCAGGAAGACCTGGGTTTGATTCCCAGCACCTACGTGGTGGCTAAAAACTGTAACTCCAGTTCCAGGGGATCCAATGCCCTCTTCTAACCTCCATGGGCATTTCACAACACAGGTGCACTTTTACACATACAAGCAATATACTCATACATATAAAATAAAAATAATAAATATTGGGGTCGGAGAGATGGCTCAGAGGTTAAAAACATTGGCTGCTCTTGCAGAGGACCCAGGTTCAAATCCCAGCATCCACATGGCAGCTAACAACTCCAGTTCCAGGGGATCTGACACCCTCTTCTGACCTCTGTGGGCACTGCACAACATGGGTGCACTTAAACACATGCAGACAATACACTCATACACGTAAAGTAAAAATAATAAATTTTTTTTGGTCTTTTTGAGGCAGGGTCTCCCTGTAGCCCCAACTGTCCTGGAACTCACTATGTAGACCAGGCTGGCCTTGAACTCACAGAGATCCACCTGCCTCTGCCTCCCGAGTGCTGGGATTAAAGGCGTGCACCACCGCCCAGCTAATAAAATATTTTTGAAAAAGAAATAGGGGTTGTTGGGAAAGGGTTCTGGTGGGGGATTGTTCTTTGAACTTGACTTTGAATGACAAAGGAAGGTGGGTAAGAAAATTGGGTGAGGAGGAGGAACAGGAAGTAGCTGAAGAAGTGGCACTCACAGTCAGTGAGGGAGTAGCCCTCAAACCCATCTATCTCCTCCTCCTGCAGCACTTTGGCCAAGGCACAGCGATGGATGAGTTCTGCACCATTCACCACAAGAAGGCACTGCTCTTAAAGGCTGGGCTGCTGTGTGATTTTAAACAACATACTTACCTCTTTGGACTCCATTTGTGGAATGAAAATTTGCTAATACCTAACTAATCAGGACACTGTAGTGATTAAAGAAATAATAAGTTGTGGTCTCACATTCCTCACAAAATGGAACCAGGACTCCTAGGAATATGGCAGATTTCTGGGCTAGAGCAGGAAAGAATGTGAGACAATTCTGGATTATCTTGCATCAGAAAGTGAGGAAGTGCTCAAAATATAGATCAGGCATGTCAAAGGGACCCAAAAGCCAGCTCAAAGAGGCACTGGAGGGCCAAATCTGCAACAGTGTTTTTCTTAAGACCTTTATTTAGCTATAATGCATAATGTATAATTCACATGCCATACAATTAATTCCTTTAAACCGAAAAATAATTTTAGTATATTTGCAGAGCTCTGTAACGATCATCTATTCAATTTTAAAACATTCCATCAACTCAAAATGAAACCTTGCACCCAGTAACATTGTGTGACCATACTAATTGATTTGAACAGGAACCACCCTGGGTGCTAAGTCTAAGGTACCAGGAAGCTCCACAAAGATCCAGGTGTGTGTACAGAGACTTGATTCTCCCCACAATGCTTAGCAAAACCCAGTGTTTGACCTTGGAATTAAAATTAGCAGTCATTGAAGGACAGAGGCACACTTGCACCTCTAGATGTGAAACTCTGAGGACATATAAACCCTTATGAAGCAGGTGTTCTGGCCTAGGATGTGTAGTCTGTGTCTAATCGTGAGGCAATGAAGCCAAGTACAGGGGAACAGCTGTAAAATAACTGGATTAAAATGCTCAGGGCCAGGCTGGGGCTGTTTCTGTTGCAGAGTATCTTTCCCCTTAAACAGGTGTGTGGTACTGAAGGCAAAGGCCAGGGTCTCTTCATCTGCTCCTTAGGGGTCAGGCAGCTTCTGCAGAGCCAAGGTGGCCTCGGGTGGCCTTGCTTCCCCCCTGGTCTCTGTCTTCTGCACACAGCCTGCACTCTGACACCCTGGCTGCTCTCACTCCCCTACCCTAGCATTGCAGATAGACTTATACAGTGCCCAGTTGAATTAGGATTTCAGGTAAATGACAAATAGCTGTCTAGCACACAGATGTGTCATGCAGTCCTCCCCACTCTGACTCAGAATGTTCCTCAGAGACAGGTTTCTCAGAGTCTTGGGAAGCAGGAAGGTCTGGCCTGGCCCATTAAGCTTCTCGGGGTCCCCTTGGGGTGACAGTGGTCCCACCTCACTCCCAAAGCCTACCTCTCTGGCCCTAGCTCCCAGCCAGCCCAGGGTCTTCTGTGAGGATCTATAGAACAAGGTGGTTTGGGGCAGGAGCCTCCTCTTCCTCACCAGCCACTTTCCAGCCCCATCTGGCTAAAGGCTCTCCTTCCTCTGAAGAAAATGGGTGTTCTTGGCCATCCCAGCCTTCTGGAACCCTGGTTCTGTGACGTCATCACTCTCCTGGAAATATTCTGGTTTGAACTATGCAAATTGGTCAAGCTTCATATTGGTCAAGCTGGGTCTGGAAAGCAAAGTGGTGAGTGGGACACGGTCCTCTGGGCAGGACAGGGCTCTGCCTGCCACCTCCCTTCCTCTCTGGGAACTGCTAGATAGGGACTCCTTAGGGGGAGCTGCCACTCACAGGCCCTTCCTGGGGATGCAGGGGGTGTTTATACCCCAGTGTGTATATTCTTAATTGGAATTCTGTGGAGCAGCTAAACTTTGCACAGGGCCCCACGCATATTTTGAATTTCCATGAGGGGCTAAGTTTCTGTGAAAAAAACCAGTGGAGTCTGGGCCAAGTTCCAGTCCCAGAGGCTACCCTTCTATGATCCACATACACCCTTTCCTTCCTACCATTTGGGGCTCACTAAGTGTCCCTTCTTTTGTAATGAAGTTTGAATTGGGTTTTGGTCACATACCTCCAAAGAAAATCTACGTAGTATATAAGCATATAGGGAAAATATATATACCT